TTGTTTTCTTGCTCATTTTTCCTTCTTGTGGTTTATGGATGGCATCTCATACATTGGTTTTCTCGTGGCATTGCAATGTCCTCTTTTTGCAGGGTGTTCAGTTTCAATCCGCAAAGAAGAAGAAAGGAATGACCGTAGGTTTTGTTCATTTTGAAAGTACAGAACAACTGAAAAGTGCTGTTGAGGTATCTCTTATTACAAACTTAAACTTCTTCGATTTATGAATTTAGAAGGAACTGGGACGATTTTTCAAATTTTGGATGCAATAATAGGAGTTAGATGGAAAAACCATTGGCAACAAGAATTTGAAGGTTGCAGACGTGATTCCCAGATCATTTGATAAGACAATTCAATCATCGAGGGATCGTGACAATATTTCTAAATCTTCGGTTGCTGTCTCTTTATCATCAAATGATGGTGAAGATGATGATAACATAAATGGCGGGAATTGTGTTCCTAATGATTCAGTTTCTAAGGTAAGAAGTGCCCGTGAAGTGGTGGCTCCCCTTGCTCACATGTCATACAGTGATCAGTTGGATCATAAAAAGAATTCATTGTCGCAGGTTCTCAAAAAACTTGTAAGAGCTTTCATCCTTCACAATTTTCATCCATCATTGACTTCATATTACAATTAAGTTTTTGTGGAATATGATGCTGGACCATTCAATTTATAATGACAGACTAGGAACGCCCGAAAAGCTTGTCCTACTGGCATTTCTCTTCCCGATTGGATATTAAAATCAAGGGATATAGGTACCTACTTCATATAAGGTCTTTTTAAAGAGTGTATTATCTCCTAATTGTTTAGATTGTTTATTCAGATATTCAAGTTTTCATGCCCAATTCTTCTTCATTTTAGTTTTCTTTTTACCACATACTGATGATCCTGTTGTTTTTTGTACCTTCAAGGTGGTCTTCCATGCAATTTTGAGGGTGTTCTTAAATCACCAATTATAGATGGATACCGTAACAAGTGTGAATTTTCAGTTGGATACTCTTTGGAGGGCAAGCCAACTGTGGGGTTTATGTTGGGAAATTTCAGGTCAATTCAACATTATTTTTTATTTGTACGCTTGCTTGTTGGCCTTGAAGGATTTGTAATGGATTAAAAAATTGCACAGGGAAGGTGTAACAGCTGTTGAAGAACCTGAAAATTGTCCCAATGTTTCTAGACTTTCTTGCAAATATGCATCAATCTTTCAGGAATTTCTGAAGCTTTCAAGCTTGCCAATTTGGAATAGATTTAAGAATATTGGGTTTTGGCGTCAATTGACGGTAAGTGATTTGAGGTGTTCTAGAAGATTTAAGAAATATAATTTCTGTACCTGATAATCATCCAGACTATTTTCTGTTGACAACTCTATTCTTGAACCATGTAAGGTTCGAGAAGGACGGACTCCAAGGAAGTCGATCGATTCTGATAATTCTGATTCAAAAATCAGTGAGGTCATGCTCATCGTTCAGGTTAATGTTCGATCTGATAAATCATAACAAAAGTTTTTACCTGAAAATTATAATGTTTGATCTGATCAATCTTTATGCGTTTTCAATTATTTGTTTTTGTCGTCCTTCCATGTGTAGGTCTGCTCTTTAGGTGTTGAGTGTGAACTAATGACCAATGAATTCAAGAGACTTGCTCAAGCTTTTGCTGAAGGAGCTGTTGCAAATTCTCCATCACTGCCACTAACTTCTTTAGTCATTCAGGCATAAATTTCTTTTCTGGAGTTACTCAGTTCTTTCCTAAAACTTAAAATCAGTCACTTCTTTGAAGTTTTCTCTTTTCAGTTTTCTAGTCAAACTTTATTTTCCTTTTGCAGCATCACCAAGGAATATCAAATGCAGCACCTGCTGATACTCCATTACAGCCACTAACCATTCCAAATGTCCATGGCTCTGAACTGGAGGCTACCAATGATGTTGTAGAACCAAGAATTCATGATTACATTAGCAACCTTAAGTTCTGCATATCTCCAACCGCCTTTTTCCAGGTATGACCATATTAGTCTTCCAGTGAAAATGGACGATGGTTTTTTGTTAATGCTAGAGATCTTTTTGCCCCAGGTGAATACACTTGCTGCTGAGAAGCTGTATTCACTAGCTGGGGATTGGGCTGGGTTAGGCCCTGACACCTTGCTTTTTGATATTTGCTGTGGAACTGGAACAATTGGGCTGACGTTGGCTCATCGTGTCGGTATGGTAATATTCCAAAAGCCATTTCCCATGGAGTTCATTCGTTTTGGCTTTCCTAAATTATTGATCTTTTTCGCACCCTAACGATATTGCAGGTTATTGGTATTGAAATGAATGCTTCTGCAGTGTCTGATGCTCAGAGGAATGCTGAAATCAATGGGATAAATAACTGTAAATTCATTTGTGCAAAGGTGAGACTTATAGTTTTCATCATTAGCATGATTTCATCCTGTCTATGTTGGCACTGAAAAAGGCTATGCAACCAACTTATAATTATCTGATTGAGCCATGCTAGACTTTGTAGAGGAATTACACCTCCAAATACTTGACTTTATATTCATTTTCTGCCTTTTGTCAATGAGGGAACAGGCGGAGGATGTTGTGGGATCTTTATTGAAAGAGTACCTAAATGTAACCGAGAAAGAAAGTGAAATTTCAAGTGACACTAATCCAAGTGATGGAACTTCAAGTGCCTCCAAGAAAAGTGAGGAAATTCCATGTGCCTCTGAAAAAAATGATGAAGTTCCTGCAACTGAGGAAAGAAACGCCTTAACGGATGGCATCGAACAAGATTCTGTGGTGGGGCGAATGCCTGAAAACAATGCGAATGCACTTGAGACTTCAGAGATTGCTAGCCAAGAGAAAGGGAGCCAACTCAACGGCTGCAAAGCAGAAAGTGGGACTAGTTTGGCACAGCAGTTCAAAAATGTCGTTGCTATTGTAGATCCTCCTCGTGGTGGACTTCATCCCATCGTTAGTGCCTTCTTTTTCCTGTACTTTTCTCAATTACTGATTTCTGTTTCCATCAAATTGGTGATTGTTGGCTATTTTGGAAATAATGCAGGTGACAAAGGTCCTGAGAACCCATGCGCATTTAAGGAGATTAGTGTAAGTTCTAAGGCCATATCTTCTGTGGACTTCAATTTATTCTCTGTTTTTTTCTTTTTTAGAACATATATACTTAATACAACTTGGGTATTGTGCAGTTACATTTCATGCAACCCTGAAAGTTTGATGGCTAATGCCATAGAGCTGTGTACACCGTCATCTGAAAAAACTGAGAAAGGAAACAAGAACAACCGTGGGTGGAGAAATATGGGGAGTGCTGGTCTTGCTCGACACAGAGTGAAGTCGATGCCGATGTCGGAGCCTTTTCGGCCTGTAAAAGCAATGGCTGTAGATCTTTTCCCTCATACGCCCCACTGTGAGATGGTGATGCTGCTGGAGAGGTAATGAACAAATATGCTGCCTGCCATCTTCGAAGAGGTTTGCATTGAAAGATCTACGCTAATATTTATTAGAGGATTCAGATAACCCTTCGTTCAAATATGTAGGACGATTTGATAAATTTTGGGATATATTCTATCAGAAAACTCACAGTTTTGAGTTTTCCTGAGATCCTTTTGATAAAGTGAGACCTAATACCCACCCAAGTTTATTTGTTTAGTTGCTTTAGAATATTGTTAAAAAAGTTTTTTATACATATTTTTTTCAAGTTTTTTTTTTATAAATATTATTTTTATATACTACCATGTCAATATTGTTGAATGGTACTGTTTCTGATATTATAAGGATTTTTAAGAACTGATGACCAAAAAAAAAAAAAAGGATGAAAGAAGATTGGATATCTGAGAAGCTGAAAAAGGTGCCAGAAAAAGAAAATTAAAGAAACAAAAAAGTTGATTTGATAAGATAAAATAGTGGTTTTCATACCTCCACTAATAAGACTTAAAAGACTAAAATAATTGAAGAGATTAGATATGAGATAGATGAAGATTGCAAAAACAAACATAAACAACCAACCAGTAATTGGTAAGCTAACTCTGTTTTGGATTAATTTTTAGAATCTTTCCACAAATCAAGAACAGGAAACAAATTTTGGAGAACTGGAAACAAAGATAAGTTAATACCAACAATATAGTAAAATCAAGACTTGAAGAAAATCCATAAATCTAGGGGAAGGTTGGCCAAATCATAAGAGAGATGAGTGACAATTTTTTTTATATAAAAGAAAATCAACTTAAATCATTATTTCCTTCCTAAAAAAAGCTATACACAATTTTATTACCAACCACAATATTTTGAAGTAAAAGCAAATTTTGAAAAATAGAAAATAAAAAACAAAATTGATATCAAATAGAGCCTAAAAAATCAAACATTAAATCATCTGTAAAGGTGAAGACCACTTACTCTTATCAAACCTACTCTTTTTCCTTATCATTAATTCAGAGAAGTACAAAATTACAGGGACCAACATCTCAAAAATAGCTCATTTATCATTGACTGAGACTACGTTTCTCTTTGGGGGAGGATAATGCAAATCTTTATGAGAATGGGAGCGAAAAAAGTACAAAATTACTCTAATAATAGAACAGTTTAAAAAACAATAAAAAGGAGATAGAAGAGGGAAGAAACAGAGAGGCAGCATGGTAAGTGGGTTTGATTGGACAAAGGTCAACTCAATCATGACGTTTGAAAACAAGCTTTCATTTTGGGTGCACAAATATTTCGAGTCATGTCTCTCTCTAACTTAGAATTGAACCAATTCACAGGTCACACACTCACAAAGCAAAAATACACAGTAAAACAAACATTTCACACTACGAAAGAAATAAAACATTGAAAGGCTGTTTCATAAGAAAAGGTTGAATCTCAACTGATATCCAGTTGAGGAATTTGAGTGAGAAAGAAAGAAAGAAATCAGAGAGAATCTGATTCGAAAGGAGGGTTTCAGCTGAGAAAATAGCAGAGTGGAGGTGTGGGGGATGGTGGGGGAGATGTTAAGGTAGGCCACCAATTGCCACCATCATTCCCTTTCCTTTTTCCCTTATTTGCTATGCAATTCTCTTCCATTTCAGGTTTTGCTTTCTGGGTTTCTGTTGGATTTATGGGAACAGAGGAGATGAGTGTTGTGAGTCCAAGTGCAGATCGTCTCCAGAAGGTTGTTTCTGTTCCATCTTATGCTTTCTATCTTATGGCTGTTTAGTAGTGTTAGTGTGTTGTGTCATTTTGTGGTCTTTTTCAGGCTGGGACAACAGAAGGAACCTCTCATGTTAACCATTGGAAGAGGCGAAATCTCTCGCTTGAGATACCTTCTAGGACACCCGACTTGGTTGCAAAGAGAATGCCCCCATCATCTAGTCCTACACCAAGGGAAGTGAATTTTGTGTTACACCTACCTCTTCAGATGATGCTATACCTACTGGATCTTCGGGGCCATCTTCGTCAAGACCCAAACCATCCATTAAAAGTTTCTTACCAAAACTTAGCTTCATTTACCGAAGTTCGACGGATGTTGAGGCGGTGTCCTGCCTTGTTTCTGAGGCTTCATCTTCACGGACACATGAAAAGCCTCCTCAAGCTTTAAGGCCGTTGTCGATGGGGACGATCTTTACGCCTAGGTCGAAGCAAGCTTCGTCACTACCTGTAACTCCTGTAGCTCATTCAAATCCAGAATCTACACATGATGGAAGCAAGGGAAGTGAACAGGAATCAGTAGCAAGCACTAGTTTTGAGTTTTATTTAGTGGTGAAGCTGACCTAGTTGAATTTATCATAGGGTTACCTTACAAAGATTGCAATTTTATTGTGCAGAGAAGGGGCTCTCAGAAACGGATATCACGCTCCCTTTCTCTTCCAGTCAATAACAAGGGTAGAAGCATAAGGAGGACGGATTCATTTTTTCGAGTAATTCCTTCGACCCCACGACCAAAGGAAGGGGATACGACATTGAATACTTCTACAACAATAGAAATAGGTAAATCGACCAAACTTTACTGGTCTATTCCCATTTAATTACAACAGTAACTAACTCTTTTACATCCAATCTTGAGAACTAAAGCTTGTTTTCTACAATGAGCGATGTCAGTCTCATCACAATCTTATGGTCCAGAAAATGAAGAAAGCAATGGCGAAGACATCTCTGAAGAAGAGGCTGTCTGTAGAATTTGCATGGTTGACTTGTGTGAAGGAGGTGAGACTCTAAAGATGGAATGTGGCTGCAAAGGTGCACTTGCTCTGGCTCACCAAGAATGTGCAATCAAATGGTTTAGTATCAAGGGAAATACATCGTGCGAAGTTTGCAAGAAAGAGGTCCTAAACCTTCCTGTAACTTTGTTAAAGGTCCAGAGCATTCGAACTCGAGTATTTGGGGGAACTAGAACTCAGCAGGACAATGTCAATATCCATAGGTCAGCAACTATCTGTTCTCATGGATTTTGAAGTGTTCAATCTTATTGATCTAATCCCACCATGTGTAATGTTTCAAGTAGAGTTTGCTCTTGGTTTTGTCCAATTAAGAATACCAAAAAACATAGAATAGAGTAAGAGCTAAACTTCGACTATTCATACTAATGTCTATTCTATTTGAATAAATCAGGGTGTGGCAGGAGTTTCCTGTGCTTGTGATTGTTAGCATACTTGCCTACTTTTGCTTTCTTGAGCAACTACTGGTAAGACAAGAAACCATGAAATTCTGAGTTTAAATCCATCATTTGTCATGTCCTCTGTAATATGTTCAGACGCAGGTTGCAAAAATGGGCACCAGTGCAATTTCCATTTCACTTCCATTTTCTTGCGTTTTGGATCTGTTCTCGTCGATGACCTCCTCGACCATGGGTAAGCTAACAAGATCTATTAGAAAATATAAGCATTCTAATCTAATTAGAGCTCTCTAATGACTGATTACTAATGATGATGAAGCAGCATCTTTTCAATTCATATTTGATGATGAAGCAGCATCTTTTCAATTCATATTTGCTAGTCTATTACATTCCATTACACTGATTATTCAACAAGCCTGACACACAAAGTTCAGTAATCCTAAACAGAAGTTTTGTCTGTAGTGAAGAGAAGATACATATGGGTATATGCAACAGTTCAGTTTGTTATGGTGGTTCTCTTCTCACACATATTTTACACTGGTAAGAGCCAAAGCTATCTATTTTTTTCCTCTTAATTTTAACTGCATAGCTTTGTTAACCGGGAGCGAATAGTAGGAGTCATGCTACCATTCTTTTGGATCACTTATTGAATGGCATAATCTGAAATCTAAACCTAATAATCGGATGCTTTGTACAAATAAGACCAATTGTTATTTTCATCACTCCCCTCTATCTATACTGCTTTGAATTTAGACTTCTTGCCCCTATTATCTTGGAGATGAGCTTTAGAATGACTTACAGGTTGGTATCCAAGCAGTTTTGGCTATCATACTGGCTACATTAACCGGGTTTGACCTCATTATGAGTGGAAGTTCAATTATTGTTGAGTTTTTAAGATGGAGAATACGATGGTGGCTTACATCAGCACAACATCACCACAACTCTCGGAGAACAGCACAACCAATACGATCATCTATAGCTATAAGTTCAGTGCACCATGCCATACCCCGACAACATCCCACGGTTGTTGAAACATTAAGCAGAAGCTGAATTGAGACGGTGTTGGCCAAGGTGAATTATCTTTTTTTTTTAAGCATTATCATTGTTATATGTACAATTGAGTCTAGGTAGTGACTTCCCTGAACCATAGTTCCCATGTAAGTAAAACTTTATGCCGTGGTTCTGAAAGTTGTCAATTTGGCAAAAGTTGATGGATATATAAGGAACACACAAGAGAATGAGAGAGTGAATCTAATCCATTGCAAATCTTAAACAAATCCATTATACATATGTGGCTTTCTTGTGATCTTTTTCTAGGTTAAACCCTGCCCTGTTTGTGTCAATATTGTCTCCCTAATTACAAAAAGTTGCAGTTTTAATAGACCTAACCATTGATGAGCTTGATTTCGCTTTCACAAGGTGTAACTCATATTGCTTGAGCTAAAAGAAAAGTATGCTAGCAACTACAAAAGATGGAATCTAGTAATTAATGTTATTTAGTAGTTTGTGAAACTAAATCACAGGTTCTCCAATGTGAAATAGGAAAGATATTAATGGAAAAAAGACTGCTTGTTTCTTAAATAAAAAAAAAAAATGAAAGAAACAACTGGAGGTCGAGAAAATTGAATCCTCATTGATAAGTAAGTAAAATCTACAAGCACAGAACTACAAAAAATTTGTAAGCAATTAAACAAGCGATGAATGAGGCAGGCAGAAGATATATTATATATTGTATGATAAAATAAACTTTTGCAACAAAACGGAATGACAGAGAAAGCGGCAACGCCGACTGAATAAGCAAGAAACTAAGAACTATCGTATGGATAAATAATCACACTGCTACTCAAAATTAGCCAGTAAAACGAGTTGACTACAATCTCCAGAACAATGACTTTACCAAACTATGTAATCAAACTAAAATAATAATGCTAGTTAATCAATAGAAGGCTATCTTCATCTAATGCGGAGAATTCCGTACCGTCGTCACTTAGTTCCTCATAGGAACGATGACCTAGCGGCATTCCCGAACTGAGATCGGCGAATGTTGTCTTGGCGCTTCTTGTAAACGATTCCTCCTATTCCCACAAAACACGCAGCAGCAATCACTCCAACTGCAATTCCAGCCTTCTTACCGCCATTCATCCCGCCCTTGGAAGCTTCCGTCTCTCCTCCACCGCCATTAGCAATGCTGTTACGAAAATCACTGTCGGCAGTCAGTGAAGGGGCTGGAGCCGGAGACGGAGATGGAACACGCGCGGGAGATGGACTGGGAGTGAGATCTGAGGGCGGTGGCGCAGGAGGAGATTTTAAAGGTGATTCCGCCGGAGAACTAGCAGGAGCGTGAGGAAATGGAGTAGGGGAGGGCACTGGAGGAGAATCTGCAGCAGATTCAGGAGATGGAGAAGGCGGAACTTCCACTGGTTGTTCCAAAGAGAAAGCGGCGTCCATGAACACCGCAACGAACATCAAAAGAAGGCAACAGAAAGCAACGGATTTCGCCATTTTCGTATAGAGTAGAAGAATCTGTGGAGATTTAAGAATCAGAAAATGGAATGCGAGTAAGAAATAGAAGTCGGTGAGGGAAAAATAAAAATGGAGAATTATGAGTAGCAGTATAAAGCAGTTGAAATTTTAAGGAGGAATGGGAGGCAAATAAGCCAATGAGTAAACGCCACGTAGGAATTCTTGAAACAAAAAATAGTTGGTGATTGTACTCCTGGATCCGCGCTGGCAGAGCAAAAAGGCAAACTCTGAACGATAAAGATAATTACTCGAATTACGCGCCGGTGATTTTATAATTACTTATTTCAAACATTTCATTCCAAAAACATTTTATATTATATTTTTATTTATAAAATATTATTAAATTCGTTAGAATATATTTTATATTTTTTTTTTAATAGAAAGTAAAGTAAAAAATAAAAATGATAGTTCAAAATTATTATTATTTTTCTTTTTTTGAGTTAGAAATTGAAATAGGTGGTAGGGAAAAAAGGTAAGGAAGCTTTGGCATATTTACTTTTCCTCTAGAAATCGGGCAAAGGCAGCACAACTTGGTTAACGAGTAGGTTTAGTTAGATGACATCTTGGACTGATAGTGATGACTATGGATTTTTTTTAACTTATCCACGAGAATACTTGGTTTGGTCGACCAACAATGTCTCTTCTCTATCTTAGCCACGAGCAAGGAAGGCAATAAATCATCTATAATGACACGAGTTTTGGCTTTTGACAACCATTTTTCGACCTGCTTCTCAATATATAAATGGTTTGAGATAGTATGTTTCAAGCGACCGTGCAAGATCTACATGAATGGTTATTGGTTTTGATTTAATAATGGCTCATGAATGTTCGACTCTTTTTTCGGAATGTGCGCCGACTATAAAGTGCAATTTTACAAAATTTGAGATTTTGAAACGTTTTTTAATAAGTATCCAGTTGACTTTTAAGTAAAGATTTTAACGTACCTTTTAAATTTAATTATATATTGGGACAACAAATGTCTAGTCATCCACGACCGTGTCATTATTTTGCTTTGTTTTATTTTACTTTTACCATCAAATACTATAATTTATTTGTAATTTTTTTCTTTTTTTAAGGATTGGATGTCGAAATTTTCTATAAGGAAAATTGTTGTGTTGGATGTTTGGGCTTTGTTCTGGGGCGGTCCATTTTGTCCAGAGTGGTCAGCCCACGTGGGCCTAACATACAAAGGACGCAACCGATCCAGTGAATGTTACAATGGGTACATTCTGACCTTAATCAACTTCAAAGACTTTATAATTTTGTCTTTTCATTTTATATTTAATGTATAAAATCAATATTTTATTGTGTATATATATATATCTAATGTATATATCCAAATTTTAAACATAATTAATATTTTTTTGAATTCTATTGTTTAATAAATCATTAAATATACAATACATTATTATTGTATTCAATATTTCTTTAAATATTTAAAATTTGCCGTCCTATATACACACAATTCAATTTTCAATCTAAAATTTTAGATATTTATTAAAGTTTTATTTCAGGCTTAATAAAAAGCTTAAGCAAGCAGAGGGTTTGGTGGTGAGCTGGCTAAAAGAGTGGACCCCACGGGACAATGGAGGAGTGACCTAGCAGCGTCCCCTCCACGTGAATGTTTAGGTCATCTTGAAACCTCCACCGCTTTAAAGTTGTGACATTGGTTTTTTATGTGCTATATAGTTTATATATACTATAACAAAAATATGAACACGATTAACATTCCGATATCTTAATCGTTAAACTTCGATCAAAATTTGTGATTTGAGAAACGAGTTACGTAGCAAACGCTCTAATTTTTAATTTAATATTTAGTTTAAAGTGGGCTAAAATTATAGGGTAGAATGTGAACTTTATTAGTGAGACCCGAACCTTCGAGTGGGACCTACGAGAACAAAAACAAATAGCTACATGAAATATGGTAGGATTTCCTACAAGTCCCTCTATTTTTACATTATTTTTTTTTTGACACGTGTTAGGGTTTTTTTTTTTGTCATTATGGTACTGATTCAAATGAATATGATCAGTAGTACTACAAAAACAAACATCTCTTTAGAAGTAATAATGATGTAGCGAGAATACTGGAGAACACAGGAGAAAGACAATTATTAATAATAAATAAATCTAATCATCATCAATATCTTCAAAGAATCCTCAAACAAAGTTAGGGAGGTCGAGCGTCCTATAAAAACGAGCTAAAACAAACTCAACCACCCATGACCGAAGATTAGTTGTCGCAATCTTGGCTCAACCATCAAATAATGGTGCATTCCCAAAAAGAATATTCTTGAAGACCATACATTATTTCAAAACCCTAATGTAAATAATCAAATTATGTAACGAAACAGCTAGACTTTACCTACTGAAATAATTTAATACAAGATAAGATATGATATTTATATATAATTAGTGACCTAACTTTTTTTTGTTATATTTTATTTTTGGGTGTTTTTTTTTTTTTTTTTTTCCTGTATATTTTCTTGCCACTCTGTTGGATAAGGTTTCCAGTGAGAGAATATGAACCCTTTTGAGAGTTTCAAGGTAGTATCTCCACCACAAATTCCCAGACATTCTAATCAATGTGCTGTACTAATCCCTCAGCTCACCTCATAATTAACAATAATTTTACCATTAAATAGGGAAATTAAGAACATAAAGGAGATTCTTTTATTAATAAAACAAGGAAGGGGAAAGGGATAAGGATGAAACACGAGAAAATTACGGCGACAACAGACATGAAAAATATGTACAATTTCCAGGGCCAATGATTGATGTTTTTGTTCATCTCAATTTCACGGCGGCGGCGGAGGAGACTTGAGAAGAAACAGAGCAAGCAACAATGGAGTGTTCCAATTCCACCATTAAAACCAACTCTATTCATAAAAAAGAACAGGACATAACAAAACCAAGACACAATCATGAACCAATTTGATGTTTTTTTTGAAGGAAAAAAAGCTTTCTTAAGCGTTGCTCCTGAAGGATCCAAGAGCTTTAATGGCGCCAGCTCTGAGTACATACTGGTGGTAAATTGCAGCAATTGCAGCTCCAATGAATGGACCAACCCAGAAAATCCACTGCTCAAAACAACAATTCAAACAAAAACCCATTAGTTAATACTCCAAAACAAGCGAAAAGGAACGTAATTTAGTTAATTACTTGATCATCCCAGGCTTTTTCATGGTTGAAGATGACAGCAGCTCCGAAGCTTCTTGCAGGGTTAATTCCAGTTCCGGTGATGGGGATTGTGGCTAAGTGAACCATGAACACTGCAAATCCAATTGGGAGTGGCGCCAAAACCTTTGTTCAAAGAAACAGAGTTGGTTAATTGATGCAGAGAAAACAGAGTAATTTAACGATTTGGGTCGGGGACTTACCGGAACATGGGAATCTCTGGCGTTTCTTTTGGGATCGGTGGCGGAGAAGACGGTGTAGACAAGAACAAAGGTACCGATGATTTCAGCTCCCAAGCCAGTGCCTTTGTTGTACCCATCACTGAGCATGTTGGCGCCGCCATTATACCTCACGTAGTACGCCGACTGGAAAGCCTTAACCAACCCACAGCCACAGATAGCACCCGCACACTGAGCTACCATGTACAACACCGCCCTAACCAACGACACCTTCCTTGCTAAGAACAGCCCAAAGGTCACTGCTGGGTTTATGTGGCCACCGGAGATACCGGCGGTGCAGTAGACGAGGATGAAGATCATGCCGCCGAAGGCCCAGGCGATGCCGAGGATTCCGACGCCGTTACATGGGTCTTTGGAGAAATTAGGG